GGTGGGGGATGCAGAGCCTTGAACCAGTGGTGGGGACTATAAATAGGGAAAATGGACTAGCGCCTCTTTGCGCCTCCAAAATCATCATGAGGTCTTTTTTCTGACAAGATGTCCGGCCATAATTTGATAGACAGTGAGACACTCCAAGGCACAAATGGCGGCAGTTAGTCGCCGAAAGGACCTTCGGAGGATGCAAAAGCAGTAAACCTAATCCACCGGAACCTCCAAAAAAACATATCCTTGCCTTTCGGAGAGTCGGAACTCGGGTATCGGGATGTCGGCATGACGCGTATTTCCTTTTCGCCAGCCCACTTCACTGTCATCTATCTTTAGGTGGGCGTTGTGATATTTTCGTTCTTCTGCACTAACACATACGGGGCAATTTACACGTTTTACGGTAGCAGAGTACGAGAGTTGAAACGTTGAAGGTCGGGAACTGAGACTCGAGCGTTGAATCTCGCGCATTATCACCGAAAAACCATAAGAGTAGAGAGTATTGAATATCGACTCCGATTCTCGACCCGTGCTGCCAACAACAAGTGCGGACTCAGCCTATTGATGAGGTTACTTGGGGCGACGAGACCGGGGCAGAAGCCCGAGAGTCAGCTACCATGCAGCGAAATCAATCTCATTTTTCCCAAGTTCGGCCTTGTCCCCCCCTCTGATCATGGAACCTACGCAAATCGACGACAATTGTACGACTTTTGACTTTTTTTTATCTGAACTACTCGGGCCCACCAATGAGAGAACAAAAGTAAACCCTTCCCACAGGTCAGGGAAAAGATAAATTGACCACCGCAGGGGTCGAACCTGCAATCTCCTGATATTACAATTATGTGCAGGCATATCGCCACAATCGTAGTCAGACGCGATGCCATTTCGCCAGGCGGCCGTTGCTTCTATTTTTGTAGACGAGAACCTTGGGGCTCTATAAAACAGTTTGAAGGGTTCTCTCATCCGAGCATGAACAAGGAACGGGGTAGTGTTCTAAAAATATCGATACTGATGCTGAAGCCTGAGATTTCTGGGGACTTCGTCCATGCTATACTACGCGCTCCCGTAGACAATTCACCCATACATTTCGTGGCCAATGGTCATGAAGAGGGATAAACATAGACCGCGATTCATCAAACGAGTAAGAGACAGGCTCAAGCTCATCTTTTTGATCAAATACTCGGATGCGATTTCTGGTATTCTCACCTTCCCATGTTGCTAGAGTACATAAGAGGAATCTCGGTTCGAAGATTCTACTTGTCACTCTAAGTTATGCCACTGTAAGGCTGATACAACTGCCGGATGTTTTGAGCTGGGGATCCGTGATCCCCCCCTCCCCCACCCCCTATCAGTCGAAAGTACGCGGCGCGCTGTTCATGTAGCGTTTCTGATGTCACTTTCCGAGATGAATCACTGAACCGTATGCTTAAGAAAGCCCTGGGCCTGAGCCTGGGAAAGGTTTTGCTACTCGCATGATCCGTAGTGACGAGTTGCAAGGCCCAGGAACGGGCTTGGATATGACTCTCTCGGGATCTCTCAGCACCTCTCAGCCCTTTGACCTTAAGGAACAAATCCAAGCCAAAAAATCCAGGTTCGGTTGAGTTCCGCGTCGGCACAATTCCTACTTTTCAGAGTCTCCAGTCTACAATCTCCTCTGAGCTCACAATGTGGACAATAGTTAGTGGAAATTTCCAAAATGGTCCTTATGGCGGGTGAGAACGGGTGGTGGCCTATCGCATCGACCATCACGATTTCAGAATCGTGCTTCCAACCCCCAAGCATCATGTGACCGCGTCTCGGAGGTCGGGCCCGGGACCGAAGTTCGAACGCGGGACTGAGTCATCTCTTTTTTCTTTTTCCTCGATACAACACCTTCCCCATTCGCCGAATTCCACCCTCCGGAGCATTCAAATCTGGATCCGCACTCGCTACGGGATGCGGGACGCTGGCACTCGAAAAAATGCAAAGCGGCGGAGATACATGACCGACGAGGCTACCCATCTACCCATTCAAGGTCTACCCACCTATAGTATGACCGCCTGCAGTACCATCTGACTCTATGGTATAAGCGCCTGCGCCTGCAGAACTTGGTACTCATCTTTGGATCAACCGGACCAAGGGCGACCACTACGATACACTGACTAATTATCAAACATCTGACTGGAAAGTCGAAACCATCTTGATACCTGGGTGCTTTGTTATTCTTGTTGAGACGAGAGTCTATCTCAGGAAGCAACGCCCCGAAACTCGAACTGGGACATCAATCATTTCAAGTTCAGTCTTTCACTTACCGGGACCACGAGAATTCACATGGGTCCCGGGTCCTGCTGTTCCGCTCTGAGTGGATTACTGAACCATCTGGCGTCTACCACTTGGAACATAAACAAGCCTGCCGCTGCTGAAGAAAGATCATGTTCTACGTTACCAACAAATTCGGCAACGTTGGATACTGGGAACCATCATGACTTGTGATTTGTGATACTTGATTATTGCTTTTCATCCTTGCTACCGTGCTACGTCCGCTTGAACTGGTCGACATGGGAATCGGGATCCGACGACATGGGAGTCCTGTCAGTGTCAGTGTGTCTCTTGTGGTTCGAGCGCCGCAGTGTTCAGTAAACTTTGATTCTCGGGAATCTGGTCGAGAGTCCGCATGACTCTTGAGTGGGCTGGTCACCATCCATCTACAGCCTACGGCCTGACTGTCCATGACTCGATGATGAAGATTCTGGGCTGCTGAACACTGTATACTACGTTACCCACAAGTTCTGGGACACTGGTCAATGGAAGCCATCTTGATACTCGATGTTTGTCAGGAATTTTTATTCCTGCCACATCCGCTCGAGCTGGATACAAATTCGTTTTAATATTCGAGCCGTTCGGATGCACGAGACAGACTGAATGGCGACTGGTTGATCATGGGCCGGGAGTCCACATGGGTTCGAGCGACGAGTCTAGCCTCTTTTGTCGGGTTCGGGTGGGGGATAAACTCGGCTTTATTTATCCTCAATAATACGGAACCTCTTCTTCGCTCACTCGGTTACATACTTCGACAACATCGGGATATCCGTTGCTCGAGCAACAAAGGAATTCGGGCGTTAAGTTTTCAATAGTACTTACCGGCTACAGACAGTAGATAAAAACGACCAGAGTCCAGACTGAGGTTGCTCAATGCTGTCATTCATTTGGCTGATGAACGGAAGCCCTGTCTCCTTTATTATTGAAAGTTGTCATTTCTGATCCGTGATACCTTCTCTGATTCGTAATTGGCGTCGGATATGTCGGAATCTTTCGCTCGACACTCTTCGCTCAGCGTCCTTGGTCTTCGCTGGGCCCTCTCTCTAGTCTCATAGATAACCAGGGTTAGTCCACTGCCCAGCCATCCGAATCCAGGCCCCGGGGAATAAGCTGACGCGCAGACGGCGAACGCGCTTAAGACGGGCTGAATTTTCCGTTATCGTTCGGATTCGCGGAGCTGGAACTTCCAGCGCTCATGCCCTTCGCCCTGTCCAAAGCACTCCAGTCCGGAGCCCAGTCCTCACAAGATGGACAGAGACGGGGATCGATGCCCGCGGTGGCGATCCCACGCGTGTTCTCTCGTCGAACCTGAGCCAGTCGTTAGCCCCACACCTTCGACTTGGATCCACAGGGGTGTCTAGGGGTGTCTCAGGGTGTCTCGGAATCTTTATCAATGTCAAGAAACTGAAAGGAGCGTGGGTTTTTGTTTTTTCTAAGCGCTGGAGGAGCACGGGAAGCATCGCTACCCCGATACCACTGGGTGCGCTGGGTGGTTGAGCGGATGGAAGAGTACATACAGTATATTTTGCAGGCTCCGGTAAGTCAGGCTCTATGGAACTCGTTTTGGTAAGATTGAAATTACTATACTCCGAATGTCCGTCTAACTTTCGGCGACTAAATGCCATTTGTGCCTGGAGTGTCTGACTAGAATTTCATCAAATTCTGGCCGAAATCATGTAAGAAAGAACACCTCATGGTGATTCTTGAGGCGCTAAGAAACGCGCTAGGCCTTTTTCTTATTTATAGCACTCCACTGATGCAAGGCTCTGCATCCCCTTTCTCCCTTATTCCCTTTTTTTACCTTCACCCATCACCCCCCTACCGCCGATCATGAAGTTCTCCACCGTCTTCACCGCCCTTCTCTCCGTCGCCACTACGGCACTCGCCCACAACGGCACCCACACAAATGACAAGCGCCAACTGGCCTCCGTGTACACGTCGTGCACTGTCCCCAACACCGTCGCTCTCACCTTCGACGATGGTCCTTATGATTACATCTACGACATCGCCAACCGGATCCACGACGCTGGTGGCAAAGCCACCTTCT